AGTGCTGGGGTTAAAGGCGTGCACCACCACCGCCCGGCATGTGATGTAGTTTTAATTTCTCAAATCCAGTTCCTTGAAATGTTTTCCATGAATGTTTTGGTAGGCTAACGGGTGGCAGTAGATGCTCCTGGATGCTGGTAAGGAGCCAAAGCAATGTAGGAGCAAGAGGAGCTGGAGTCTCTGTGGAAGGAGCTTGGGCAGGCTAGACTTCAGGTGCTTAGTGAAGAAGGTTGGAGACCACAGCCTCAGCATCACTGACGGAAGGGGCAGGAATTCCCAGGGGAGTGGCCATACCACACACTGGACACACCAGGTCCCAGCAGCAGCTCTGCCTACCTGGGCAAAGATACTTAGTGTTTTAGTTAAGGCTTCTATTGCTGTGAAGAGACAGTATGACCATGGAAACTCTTATAAAGAAAAAAACATTTGATTGGGGTGGCTTACAGTTTTGGAGGTTTAGTCCATTATCATCATGGTGGGACAAGGCAGCATGCAGGCAGACGTGGTGCTGGAGAGGTAGCTGAGAGTTCTACATCCTGTGCAGGCAACAGGAAGTGGTCTGAACCACATGGCATGGCTTGAGCATATATGAGACCTCAAAGCCCACCTCCACAGTGACCCACTTCCTCCAACAAGACCACACCTACTCCAACAAGGCCACACCTCCTAATAGTGCCACTCTCTTTGGGGGGTGCATTTTATTTCAAACCACCACACTTGACCTCTGAGAAGAAAGGCCTGTGGGATTCTGGACCAAAAGTCCAGTGTGCCACAGGCTAAACCAGAGTGGTCTTTCCGTGCCCTGCCTCCTGGGCTCTAAAAAAGCATGTCCCAGAATTGGAGTGACCTTGGGAAAGGAGAGTTGACCTCAAAAAAATCAAGGAGTTTTCAACTCCAGGCTAATACTTGGGAGAGGCTTCTGAATTGGAATTCCACTTAAATAGGATTCCTTCTGGGTCCCCGGGTTGTGAAGGACTTTATAAAACCCCTTGCAGCTAAGATGTTCACGGTACACCCCTGAGCTAGATCTCTGGCAGCACATGCAAGTGGGACCTCCTTCCTAGTCCTGCACACAGCTCATGCCTCTCCAGTGGCTCAGGAACCTGGCTTGGCAGACTGACTTGAAGCTTGGCTTTGGGGGGCCTCGGAAGTGTTATCAGTTCCTTCACAGGACTCTGTTCCGACCACCACAGCTGGGGCCGTCAGCTTCCCTGTATCTGGGTTCCTTCCCAGCGCTACAGAGGCTGCAGTTCTTCAATACCAAGGACTCTGTCCTTTCTTCTCTCTCTCTTTCTCCCTTCCTTGCCTTAAAGAACTGCCTTTGGGCCTTCACTTTGGGGACACATGAGCTCAGGGCTCAGAGATCTCAGGTTCATGTGAGAAAAATGGTAGCACAAACCCTTTAAAAGGATTTATGTGCCCCCTTCAGCCTGGGTGTATGTCACAGTGGCTTCAGCAGAGGGGCTAAGGCTCTGTTCTCCACGTGTCAAGGAGTAGGCAGGTCCTTCTGTCACAGCCACCAAGGAGGATACAGAGGTCCTATTGTTTTTCTCTTACTGAGGGTCATTTAATCTTACACAGCTTTCTCATCTGTGGATAAACCAAAGGGGCAGTATGAGGTGCCCTGAAGAACACTTCTAAGTCAAAGTCCTAAGTTTCCATCAGTGCAGAACTCAGAACTCTGCAACATCTGGCCCGAGTAGTGGGGATGGGGGTGGGGGGGATGAGGAGCTGAACAGAGACCCTCCCCGGCCTCCAAGACCTCTAGAAAGAGCAACACTCTCGGGGTCCCACTGTCCTCAGTCTGTGGTGCTAGGGCCCAAAATGGTTGTGGAGAAACTGAGGAGGCTGGGAACTCAGAGATGCTCGGGTGGCCCCACTCTGCCCTGGCCACCCGGAGAGCCCCGGTGAGCTCACGTCTACAGTTAACTCCACTACTCATAAATGGGATGGTGAGACAAATCTGGAAGCTAGACACGGGTGAGAAGCGATGGCTGTCTCCTCAGGAATGTGCTGGCCAATTAAGACTCTCAGATGGCTCAAGAAGATGCAGGGGCTACTCCCTTGGGCCATGCTGGCCAGCCTCCAGGCTGGGTAGTTGTGCAAAGATTTGCTAAGGGTCTACTGCACACCGGGATTCCAGATGGATGTGAGCTAACACTGACCCAGGTGTGTGGTCCATCTGCCCAAGCCACACTTTGAGGAACAGACGGTCAGAGAGCCCCAGGATTCACTGGTGGTGATCCAGGCTCCCTGTCTTAGCCCAGGAACCCAAGCCTTGCCCCTTCCTGACCATAGGTTTTCTGCTCTCAGCCTTTCTTCCCCATTGTGAGGCAGCCCTGCCCTCAGTGTCCGAGGCTCTTCGTCCTCTGGAGCTGGCAGGTCCAGCTGCTGCCATCTGCTTCTCTCTGCTCCCACCATTTGCCCGTCCATGGTGCGGACGTCAGGCTTATTTGCATGTTACCACCAGCAATGTGTCTGGCAGAGGCTACACGTGGGGACACCTTTGTGAGGACAGGCTTTTGAGAGGTAGCATTTGACCTCTTGGTAGAGAACAGGGTTATCCTGCAGGTGATTTACTTACCAGAGGCTTCTTCATGTAGGAATCAGCCAGACAGGGCTCTGACAGCTCTGGGTCCCCCTCTCTAAGAGCAGAGGATAGAAACTATGTGGCCTACACCGTGTGGCTAAGGCAATGTGCACAAGTTAAAACCAAGCCTTTGCTTGGGCATGGTGGCACATACCTTAAACCCCAACACTAGGGAAGCAGGGGCAGGCAGATCTCTGAGTTTGAGGCCAGCCTGGTCTACAGAGTGAGTTTCAGGACAGCCAGGGCTACATAGAGAAACCCTGTCTGGAAAAACAAAACAGAATAAAACAAAACAAATGAACAAAAACAAAAACAAACAAAACAAAACAAAAAAAAAAAAAACCGGAAACCAACCATGGAAACCAACCAAGACTTTGCTCTTTATTTGCATAGTTTCTGTATCTGTTAGGATTGTGTCCCACTGTGAAGACATGAAAACTCAGTAGCCAGGTATTCTATCAGGGACTAGACTTCTTTTACCCTTCTGTCCAGCATTCCTTGGGGCCTCGTGGTCACATTTCGGCTGCTGCCATCTCTAATATCAAGCCCAAAGTCCAAATAGGGGAAGTCAGAGGATCAACTTCTGTCTCCATCTCCTTTACATCCGATGTTCCCTAAAAAAAAAATTTCTACACTCTTGCCCCTCATTGGCCTGAACAGTATCACATGATCAGCTAATTACAAATGGGAGCTGAGCAATATATCTTTAGTTGAGTGTCTATTTCCCCCAACATCGTCAGATTTATTGAGGTAAGAAACATATAGTAGTATACAAATTTCAAAGAAAGAGTCGTGGAAAGACATTTCAGGGAATGGTTGGGGACCAAAGGTGGAAGTGGCTTGTGGCTCATTTTCACTCTAAAGGCTCACGCTAATGGCGGCCAGCTAAAGTTAGATAAGGCCTAGACAGTTATGAGAACCATCCACGATTCCCACAGTGATGTAAGGGAGGTAGCGGGTGACTAGCCTCTCTCCATTCACATGGGTTCCTTGTTCATCCAGTTTTAGAATATCAAAATAAGTCTTCTCTTTCTTACTATGTTTTGGTTGAAAACGGGGGTCTCACTTTACTGGCTGGCCTCGGACTCCGTGGCCTGGCTAGCCTTGAATTTGTGGCGACCCTGCTGCCTGTCTCTCAAACGCTGAGATTGCTGGTGTGCACCATCACATGGGGCTCCCGGCCTCATCTTTAGCCCCCGTCACCTGCTTCATTGGCTTCTGTGGCACTTTAGCTTTAGGAGGCTTCTCTGGAACCCTTTATGTCCATCACACCCTTTATTATTATTTATTATTAATTAATTTTATTTTTATTTATTATCTATCTACCTATCTATCTATCTATCTATCTATCTATCTATCTATCTATCTATCTATCTATCTATCTATCTATCTATCTATCTATCTATCTATCTATCTATCTATCCGAAATAGGACCAGCTTGCAAACCTGAGCTTTGGGCTTCATTCCCGTGACTAGCTAGCAGGACTCTGATGGAGCTTCCCCCAATTAGGTCTGGGGCCGCTGACCCAGTGGCCCTCCATAGGCTCTTAGGCATCGGCATCCTCTGCGGGGACCCGGGGCAGGTTCTGGGTGTCCGGTCTCTTTACCTTCCCTGTGCTGCGGGAATGACTCTGGCCACGGGGCGACGCCGTCCTCCTCCTGAACAGAAGCGCTCGGATCCGGAAGCTCTCGTGAGCTGCCTTTCCTAGCGTTTCTGGGGCGCAGAGGAGCCTGGCCTTCATTCACCCCCAGACCCCG